GGTATAAAAGTGGTAAGCATAGCTAGGAAAACATCAGTGTTCCCCATCTCCGTATACTTACTGTGACTGAAAATATATTGGGATCCTACCAGGACCAGAAATCAGAAGAAAGGAAATGAAAAGTTTTTGTCAACTGCCCATCACCATCAGGTATATAAATATGCTTCACTTTTGAAAGCTTACTACATCTCTACATAAGTCTGTAGGTGCCTAACAAATAGTCTTATCTCAAGCGATGGATTGAAGAAATGAATGGAATAAGAGGTTTTAATTTCCACCTTTTTTGTTATCAAAATGTAAATGCATCAGTGACTTTGTACTCAAGATTAGAAAAAAATGTGACAAAAACAATGCTAAATGTCCAGAAATATTAAAAACTATGTTAGCAAAGGGATAGAGGTTGTTACAATTTCCATCTGCAATTTTACACAGATTCTTGGGTATGAAAATCAAGCCAAGTGTGACAAAAGTTAGAGAGAATGTAAAGATTGCTTTAGGTAAACTTCTACATCTTTATATTCTTTACTAAGTTTTAGCACCCAGGACCCTCATATGGCTCCCTTGCTACCTAGTGAATATTCAATTTAGTCTCCCCTGCATGCAATGTATCATTCTGTGCACTCAGAACTAACTTTTTTTGTGGTTTAGCCAGTTGCAAAATCACATATCTTTTCTCTATAATATTCAAGGAAAACATTCTTTCTAGTACCTGATCTGAACTAAGTTTAAAAAAAAAATCACATCCAACAAAACTATCTCTTTAATGGTAAAATTCAGGAAGCACAAAACAGAGAAGCTGAGCATTTTAGGCAATCTTAAGCCATAAGCTGGGGGTACAATGGACCTTATGGTTTATAGACTATATGATCACTGAAAGACTAACCACAAAAATCAATCAGCAAGCATTTACTAGGGTCCTAAATCAGGTCAATCACCATACTAGGGGCTAAGGATTAGAAGACAGATGAAAAACAGTACTTAACTTCAGCCTTATGGATAGGCAGGACAAAAGCACAGAGATGGTAGATGGAATGCTGTATACGAGGAAAGAAGGGAGGCTAGGTGTCACAGTGGATGGAGCACTGTGGGGGGAATAAGGAAGAACCATCTTTGCGAGTTCAAATATGGTCTCAGACATTTACTATCTCTGTGGCCCTGGGCAAGTCACTTACCTCTATTTGCATCAGTTCTTCATCTGTAAAATGAGCTGGAGATGTACATGGTAAACCACTCCAGTATTTTTGCCAAGAAAACCCCAAATGGGGTCATGAAGAGTCAAATATGATTGAAACAACTGAACAACAATATGAGGAAAGGCAAGAAGGTTATGTTAGCTGGACACTAGATTGGATTAAGGCAGAGAAGATTAATGTGCACCATGGCTGGAAATAAGGGTTGGGTCCTCTTTCAGAAAGCATTTAATAATCAAAAATAAGAGTTTATATTTGATTGTATGAGGATTAGTGAGACCTCTGGGGTTTGATGAGTGGAGAAGTGGAATGTTCAGTTTTGTGCTTTAGGAAAGCCAGTTTGGCAGAAATGTGATGGATGGATTGAAGAGGGGAGAGACTTTGGACTGGGATACCAATTAGAAGATACTGCACTATTCTACAAAGTGAGACAAAGGTCAGAACTAGAGTGGTAGCTGAGTAAATGAAGGCAAAGGGACAAATGCGGGAGACATTGTGGTGGTAGAAAGAACACTATGTGAAAACTGATTAAATATGGGGACAGGGGTTAAGAGTGACATGAAAAGGAGAGCAGTGAAGCTATGAATCTGGTGACTGCAAGGATGACAGTACTCTTGAAGAAATAAGGAAGTTGAGAACCAGGGGGTCTGTGGGAAATGGGGAAGATAATGGGTGGATTTGGGACATGCTGAGTTTGAGATAGCTAAAGGACATACACTTTGGAATGTCCAATGCATGACACAATGCTAAAGCTTAAGAGAAAAGAAAGGCAGGAAATATAGCAATAGGACTCATCATCATAAGGAACATGAACAAACCCATGTGAAATAACACAGTCACTGAGACAACATGAAAGGAAAAGATAAAAGAAAGCCTAAAACAGAGCCTTGACAGAAACCTAATTAGAGGGCATGATGAGACAGTCATGATGCAGCAAGAGAAATTAAGAATTAGTTGTCAGATATTAGGACAAACAAGAGAGAGCAGGGTAACAAAAATCCAGAGAGGAAACACTGTAAAAGAATGAGAGTGCTCAAGAGAGTCAAATACTACACGGAAGTCAAGAAGAGTGAGTTTTTAGAAAAATCTATCAGATATACACATTAATAAATTATTGTTAACGTTGAAAATGATCATTTCAGTTGACTCATGAGGTCATAAGGCAGATTATATGGAGTTTATAAGAATGAAAGAAGAGACAGTGGAAATAAAAACTAAGGATAGCATTTTTCTAAGACTTTCACTGAGTATAGAAATATTATAGAGCCTATTTAGGTGTTTTTAAGGACAAGGGAAATTTTAGACCCCAAAAAGGAATGAGCACTTAGGGAAAGATTGAATATTAGAGGTAGAGAAGAGGCTGATAATAGAGGAAAAGCCTTAAAAAGAGGATGGAATCCAGGGTATATTCACAGAGGATTTTACTCTTGTCAGGAGCAGGGCTACTTTAAATCTTCATCAGAGACTAGAGTAAAGCGGGAGAGAATGGGGTAGAATATCAATTAGTCTGGAGTTGAAAAGAAGGGGGAAATAATTCTCAACCATAACGGTCTCTATTTTCTAAATGAAGTATCATATAAAGTCTTCACTTCTGCAAATGTTTGGGAGGGAAGGTATGCGAGATATAAGGGGAGAAGATAAGTTTAGAAGCAGCCGAGGTAAGTATTGGAAAAGAGAATCAGCATAACAGGAACAAAGGACTACCTGGCAGAAGTGAGGACCAGTTGCAATTATATGGCATTAATTGGTAGTGAACCCAGTCAGTAGAGTTTTGTGACTTTGGCCAGTTCTATCCAGCAGTACATAAGTACAATTAAAAAAAGTGGATGGCTAAAGTAACCATGGGTTAGGGTTTGGCAAGTTGTAAACTTCAGTAAGACAAAGCAGCAAGTGATTCAAGAGGAGAGACGAATATCCAGTTAAACTGATTAATTATAGAGACAAAATTAAAAAGGGAAGAAAGCAAAATCAGATTAAGCAAGATTGCCAAACAAATTGTTGAGTGGTGTCAGAACTGGAGGTCCCAATAAAAATAAAGAATAGGCTTAAGAAGAATAATGCATGGGAAAACATAGGCATTTTAGTAAAAGTACAAGAGCTTTGATTGAAATTATACCTTGTGAAATCAATATTCGAATTCCAAAAGGTCTTTATATGAAGAAAAGAGACATTTCCTCTTCCTTGCCTTGCTCATCACTGTTTCTGTGTTTGTGCTCATAACATACATGGAATATTTCCCCTTGCAACCTCAATATTTATGCCTTTTGAAGTGCTACCAAACTCTAAAAACTTCCCTACCAATTCCATTAAACATGAAGCTGTCCCTTGATTTTGCCAGTCAGAAATAAGCTCTCTGTCTCACATCTCTCTGAGCTTTTTGTTCTCCTCCCATGCACTTATCACATTCTACTTTGAATTATAGTCACTTACATATATTACATGTTTCCTTGATAGACTGGAAACATCTTGATGCCTAGGGCTGATTCCTATTTTTAAACTATGCAGGCTTAGAATAGAGGCTGGTACAGAGCAAGCACTTGATAAATGTTTTGTCAAATGCTATGGTTGATCCATCCTTTTTAATTCCTTTGCCTCATGCTCAAATGCAAATGTCTACTTATATATGGCTTTATAGGCATAAATAATGGGTCTAAGAGGTATAGCTTGGGAAATAATTTGTGAGTATATAAGGATTTGTTTGAGTTCCAGGAGTGTTTTAACTAGGGCAAAGCACATCAAAATCTAAAGTGGTATTTGGGAGTGGAAGGAGCAATTTTTCCATACGCTATATTCTTCTAACCAGAAGAGATCCAAAACAGAAGAATATACTTTGGGAGTTATTTTTCCATATGAGGACAGATTTGCATTTCCACATGACTGGTCTGGGTTGGTGGTCACCAGTGGAAAGCTTGAAATTGAAAAGGCCATGAGGGAGTCTAATCTGGGACAGTACATTCATCTGCATGACATATCTAGTCTATTGGGCTCATTATAGTATCAAAACGTCTTGGATAGTAAACCAGTCCAGGGCACTGGACATCATTTAAAATTACTTGATAATCTATATAACTTTCAGTCTCAAAGGATTGGAAGACAATAATTTGTTTATGAACAAATTAAGGTATGCCTCAGCAAAGGACCCTAGAGGAGCTTTCAGGACAGCCTGAAAAGCAGGAAACCTGGATTAACATCTTGGTTCTGACACTTCTTCCATAATGACTGAGAAGTCACTTAACTTTTCTGAGCTCCAGTTTCTTGTGCATAAATTGGTAATAACACTATTAGAATTTTCTACGTAAAAGGAGGTCTTATAATGAAAGTACTTCATGATAACGAAAATTTTCCACTGAGAGAGATGCAACTATTATTAACAACTTTTTCAAGGTAAGAGTATTGTTCAGAGATTCCTAGATAATCTGAGACATAGAATAGCCTTAAAAATCACCTACTTCAGGGGTTGTTAGCCCTTTTTTGCTTCATAGGTCCCTTTGCAATATGGTAAAGACCATGGACAAATTTATGAGAATCATTTTCACTAAAAGGTATTAAAATATGTAAGATTAAAATGGGAACAAAGTACAGGGAAGTACATTTATAAAAATATCTTAGGTCCATGAATTTCAGGTTTAAATCCTTTGAACTAGCTCCATCATTTCATTTAAAAAATAAGAAAATTAAGGCAAAAAGGACTGTCATTTACACAAGGTCACACAATGAGCCTGAACCAAAGTTACCCGAAATGTTCTCATCATTTGGCCTCTGTTTCTTTTCTCCATGCAGGCAATAGAAAAAATCCTCTACCCCTAGAACATGGCCAATCTCACCGTGGTGACAGGATTCCTTCTCATGTGCTTTTCCAACATCTGGGAGCTACAGGTCCTATATGCCATCCTCTTCTTGCTGATCTACCTAGTGGCTCTGCTGGGTAATATACTTATTTGCACTGTCATCTCTCTTGATGGGAAACTCCATACTCCTATGTATTTCTTCCTAAAGAACCTGTCTTTTTTAGATCTCTGCCTTATTTCCACCACAGTTCCCAAATCAATTGCAAACTCTCTAAGTCGCAGCTGCTCCATTTCTTTATTGGGGTGTGTGTCACAGCTCTTTTTAATGATGTTATTTACAGCATCTGAGCTTTTTCTCCTCACAGTGATGTCCTACGACCGCTATGTGGCCATTTGTCAGCCCCTGCACTATGAAGTCATCATGACAAGAAGGGCTTATGTGAAAATGGCAGCTGCTTCATGGTTCAGTGGAAGTTTGTTTGGGGCCTTGTATTCAGCTAGTACATTCACTTTGTTCTTCTGTGGCTCCAGGGAGATCCACCAGTTCTTCTGTGATGTCCCTCCCTTGCTCAGGATCTCCTGCTCTGAAACACACCTTGCAGTTGATGTTACTATGGCTTTTGGGTTTGGTTTAGGGATTTTCTGCTCTATTTACATCACAATCTCTTATAGTCACATCTTCTCAACTGTACTGAAGATTCCAACCAGAGAGGGTAGGTCAAAAGCCTTCTCTACTTGCCTGCCCCACCTCATAGTTCTCATGGTTTTTATCACAACAGGTGCCATTGCTTATCTAAAGCCACCCCAGGAATCTGACTCAGTTCTAGATTTGTTGTTGCCCATGTTCTATACTGTGGTGCCCCCAACCATGAACCCAGTCATCTATAGTCTGAGGAACAAGAACATGAAGACTGCTTTGATGAAACTCATAGCCTGGGAATACTTCTCACAGGGAATACCAAAGTCTTTTGCATGATCATATGCCTGTGCACATATACTTACATTTACATAGATACAGGTATGCACATATGTATATATTTCATGTTTATACACATTTATGTTTATATATTCATATATTTCATACATATTGATATATCACTTCAATATGTGTTTATTGACTTAAATTCCTTGCTACTGTATCATGTCAAGCTTACCAACTTTAAAATGTTGACTCCAAGATGGTCTGGATAATCATAACAATATGATTTTTAAAGTATATATACCCATTCTGGTCCTAAAATCAAAAGGCCACTAGTTTTCTGGGAAAAAAGGGTACTTATTTGAAAATAATGTATTAAAAGTTCCTCTGATCAATTTATGTCAACGGTTTTCCTAACACGTAGCTGCATAGAATGATAGAAAATATTATCTGACTTGAAAACAGATGAAGCATTTGACTCAGGGTACCATAACTTGCAGTGAAGCACCAAAAGGTTTTTATGTGTCTATTTTGCTTTATGGTTTTTTGAAATGGCTTTACTATCCAATATTTGATCACTACAATAATAGTCAGGGATAGTTAGGAAAAGTGTTATTATCACCACTTTATATTTAGTGATAAACATTTTCAAGATCTACAGTAAGTGATGGCATTCTCATTGAAGTGTTTCATCTATTCTCAAGTCAGATAATGTTTTCTACTAATCCATGTTGCCAGTTGTTAAGTAAATAGTTGATATGAATTGATGAGAGGACCTTCAAATACATTATTTTCAACTAATTTTCTTTCAGGGACATCATAGGTCATTCCTCTAGTCTAATCTTACCTGAGCTTCACATTCATATAAAACATCCACAATTCATGGTCATCCAAAAATCATGTGAGTATTTTCATTGAGGTAGAGTAACTTCATGCAAGAGCAACCCATTCCACTTTTGCAGGTTTTTATTTGTTCAGACACTTCCCTCACATTAGGCCAAATATTGCTCTGTCTGTGATTTTTACTCATTGCTCCTGCTTCTTCCAGCCCTTTCACTACACTGAAATGTAAGTTGTTTGGAATTGTTATATTGGGACCACGAAAGTACAAATGATACACAAATAACTAAGTCAGTCATGTGTTCTGACCATACAAATCTATGACACATTAAATGTATACAATCTCATTTAAAGAGTAAGATTCTTACAACAGCAGAATGTAACTTGATTTCCTTATGTTGTCATTGTATACAGAAAAGACATTCTTTTCACTATTAAATTTTGCTATTATTTTGTTACCCCAGAGACTGTAGCTTTATGTCCACTTTGGAAGAAAGTAAATATATATTCAAGACCATACTTTAAGATGTTCAGCTAAGTCCATATATTTAAATATGTATTTAAAGTTTCTCTGAACATATATCCCTATAGAAGTCACTTAAGTAAGAAAGGGGTCTTTATATTAAATTTTTCATATTATTTGCACCATTCCTGAACTGTTTTAATGACACTCCTTGTCTAGGCTTCCCATTACTAAAAAAAAAAAAGTTATCAGACTAAAGAAAAGGGGCACCTGATCCCCATCAGCTGACTTCAGTTACTAATTTTCTTGTATCCATTCAAGGGAGAGCAGTAACACAGATTTAATTATCTATTTATTTTAAATCACTGTCTGGCTGGAGAATACTTTCCCATCTACCTCATCTCCTCCAGCTTTCCCATCTCTTGGTCTTTCTAGTGTTTTAACTGATTAAGAGACAAAGGTTTATCTATTGCCTCTATTCTCAAATACATACTTTGATATTTTGGATATTGTAGTTATTACTGGGCCACTCTTTGAATCCATAGCTGGTTTTGCAAGTGCCCCTTGTCTTCAGTCTGATACCGTTTTTTTTAATTCTTCATGATCCAATGGACCTCAGTTTATGCAGTTATCTTGCCAAAGACATTGGAGTGATTTGCCCGTGCTTCTCTAGTGGATCACCAATCCATTGGCAAAGAAATGTTATGTGACTTTGCCAAGGTCACACAGCTAGGGAATATCTCATGCTAGATTTAAACTCAGGTCTTCCTGACGTCAACCCCTGCACTCCATCCACAGTACCACCTATTGTGTGTGTGTGTGTGTGTGTGTGTGTGTGTGTGTGTGTGTGTGTGCGAGTGCGCTCATAGATAGATACATAGATGTCTACTTGAATATGAAGAATTGGACACAACTGAATGACTAAACAACATATATTTAACATTTTGTGCAATATTTTATTAATTTACATTATATAATTATATATGAACACACAATTTATATTATATAATAATCAATATTAGAGACAGATTGATAAACAAAAGATATAATTTGCTTATTTTTTTTAAAAGTATAGTCATATCAGGGCAGCTTGGTGACATAACACTCACTAGCTGTGTGACTCCATAAGCTGAAACTAAAATGCATCCCACACTTGAAAGTGACAAAAGAAAGTGGGGATAAAAGTAACTGTATTCTTAGCCCCCATTGTCAATTTGAAATTTAGTCATCTTGAGACTCCATATATTCTTCAATGAACTTCACTAAGATTTGTTGAGAATTACTTTTTTTTCTTTCACTTTCCTAATGGCGCTGTTTACCATATAGCAATATAAATAATGATCAGCCATTAAATATCAGTAACCTCTCTTACTCCCAATGATAAATCACTTCCTGAAAACACATGTTAACTTGAATTCATCAAAAGCAACTAGAGGCTCCCTTATATTATTCCTGTCACAGTCTTTTTCTCAAGGAGCTCATCTTCAAATAAGAGATGATAATCAATAATAGAATACATGTGCGAGAGAGATGAAAACCTACTGGTCCTTAGAATGCAACAATAAGGTGATAAAACATCCTTTTTAACTGTTATTTCCATTTATAAAACCATTTCTATTTCATTTGACAATGCAGAGTATGTTATTTTTCTAGATAGTTGGTAGCTATGGCTACTGAAAAAACACCTGCAAAAAGAATTGCCGGTTCTCCCATCCACAATAGTAATTACCTGGATGGCAGCTGTAGGGACCAAGCTAGCAACAGAGGTGGTCTAGTGTGATACTATTTCCAGGATAATTGGGCTCAAATTCTAGGACTGTCTCTATCCAAGTTTGAGAGGAAGCATTGATTGATATAGCGATGGTACTTTAACTTCCCTGGCACATGAAGTCTCCTATCTTTCCCTGTACTTTCCTGCTTCAGGTAGGCTGTCTGTATAATCAGTTCCACTAACTTGCCCTCTGTTTGATCCCTTCTCTCCATTCACACAGGTATCACCTTAATTCAGGCTTTCATCACCTCTAGCCAGATTACTGCAATAGTCTCCTACCAAGCCTCCCTGATTCACTAAGATCTCATCACTCCAGAACATTCTGAGAACTACTGAAAAAATAATTATACTAAGAGCAAATCTGACCATGCCACTAACCAACTCAATCAATTCTACTAGCATCCTATAGTCTCAAGTATAAAATATAAACTCCTTTATTCAGCTTTTAAAACACTTTAAGAACTGGCCTCACACCAATCTTTCCTCTTTAAACATTACTCCTTATCCCATACACTTTGATCAGCTGAATTGACCTTCACTCTGTTCCCCAGATGATACTTCATCACCTTTCTCCACACCTTTACACTGAACATACTACATGTTTTAAATGCAATCCTTCCTTACCTCTGTGCCTCAAAGAGTCTCTTCTCTTTCTTCATGGTACAGAACAAGCAACATCTTCTGAAGCCTTTTCTAATATCCCTCGTTTGCTGGTGCACTCTATCACAATATAATGACCTTTGTAATTTGGTATCACTATCTTTAGAACACAAGCTTCTTGAGATAGGGGTTGCCTCATTCCTTGCACTTGTATCCTCACAACTGAGTAGTTCTCCTTGCACATAGTAGGTACACAATAAATGCTTCCTGAGTAACTGATTGATTCTCATCATTTCTCTTGCCTTCTAATCTACCCGAATTTTAATGGTCATCTTTGTGAGCTATAGCCAAACCTGTTGCTTCTATATCCTCTTTGAACAATGGAAGGAGCCTGAAGTTTCTGAAATACCAAGCTTCCTCTCTTCCTCCTAGCCAATGTGGCATTATTTCCCTTGTTGTTCTTCAATTTCTCCTTTCTCAGAAAAGCCATCACAGGTGAAAAGGAAAGATTCTCATCATCATCTTTATTATTTAAACTCTCGCTACACAAATATAACAAGAAAAATAAATTACTGGATTATTGATTAGAGGAGAAGAAAACACTCATTATAGATAATGATTATTCATTGAGGAACCCCTAGATAAGCCTTTAAAAACTAATAAGTTAAAATAATATACACCTTCATCAATGTAGGAGAACAAAAATATGACTCTAGAAATCATCTGTATTTTCATTTGAAACTAACAGGCTTAAGGTAAATTATGATCAATCTTAAAGAGTTCTTCAAGAATTATGTTTCTTTGGGGCAGCTAAGTGGCACAAGGGAGAGAGCACTGCCCTGGAGCCAGGAGGACCTGAATTCAAATCCAGCCTCAGACACATAACACTCAGTAGTTACATGACTCTGGACAAGTCACTTACCTCCAGTTGCCTCACCAAAAAAAATTATAATAATTATATCTCTTTGAATTAATTTTCCCACCTATTTATCTTCCAAAATCACAGTTCTTGCTCAGATATCTACAACTGTAGCTGAAGAGAGCCACGGTTTCCATGCATTCACTGAAGGTAACCATGCATATCTGATGTAAAGTAGCTTTTTTTTTCTTGAACTGAAAATAGGACTAGCAAAAGAACTCATAGTAGGTCACAGATAATAGATACAATTCTCTCACTTCTCTAATGAGTGGTATCTTTTCCTTGGCTTTACAGAGTTGTCTAAATTCATAGTAGGGAAGGTGGATGCAAGATGGCAGAGTGGCAGGAAGAAGTTCAGTGAGTTCCATGCCCAAACTCATCCAAATATAATAGAAAATACACTACATAAAGTCTTGATGAGGAAATCCAAGAAAAAAAAATCACAGTGAGTCATTTGTCCATTT